AAATAACTTTAAGACCGAAGTCATTTCCGAGATCCAACAACTGGCTTTTTATTTGTAAGGATAGTTCTCGGGTTGGAGCAAGAATTAAGGCATAATTATGCTTCGGTTTTAATAGCAAATTCTAAATCATGATGTAAGGAGTGACAAAAAATACTTGGATGATTGGAATCGCGAATGCAGCAGTCTTGCCCGATCCAGTTTCAGCCAGGCCAACAATATCCTTTCCTGCGAATGCAATAGGAAGTGCCTTAATCTGTATTTCCGTCGGTCTTGTCCATCCTATGTTTGTAATTATGTCACAAATTTCTTTGCAAACGCCCTTAAAGAATAAACAGCAAAAAATTTACCAGGTCGGCAAAGGTGGGGGCACGCTGCATAGGAAACGCCAAGCAAGTACAATTAATTATATCAATTAGAATATTTTTGATACAATTAAATAATTTAATTATTCACTGAAATTTTTAATTAATTTTTATTATATTGTTTAAATTTTGAATCGAAGGGCTCTGCGCTTGTGCTGTCCCCGCATGTTTTATGTATGATACGGTACTTGCTTCTAATTCTTATATATTTTGAAGAGTTTACATAAAGAGGATTTTTCACGGTTGCTGCAAGAGCAAAAAATTGCAATCGAACAAACCGATGAAAATATCCGAAAGTTTCAAAAGTTTAAGCAAGAATACAACGAACTTAAGACCAAATTAAACGATGTTTCCAAGTGCTTTACTAAGCCATACTATGCACCATTTACCAAGCGCGCTATCGTCAAATCTTATTTGGTCCACACGAATGAGGTCCTTGTTTTCCTTGGTGGCCATGGGAACAACTTTGCTGAAGTGTCAACCTTTGAAGCTAGTCACATCATTGATATGCGTATCAATAGGTTGAATTCACATCTGGAACAATTGAAAAGCCAGTTAGCTTTACTCAAAGATAGAGAGAGAGTGACCTTAGAAATATCAAGAGGCCTGACCCCCACATTTAACCCGGAGCATAAATCAAACCCAGATGAAGTTGAAATCCATGAAAAGTATGATTCAGAAGCCGAAATTTATTGGGAGGCCAAACACAAGGAACAAAAACACAGAGAACGTGAGATTAAAGCACGAATAGGAACTCCTGACATATCGAGCGATAGTGATTCAATTGATGGATCCAGTGATTCTTCCTCAGATCCTACGTCTGATGAATCCGAATTTCCATCAATACATAAGACTATATATTTTACTCATTCGAATATTTTACCCCAGATCCGTAGAGATTACCCTAACCCATGGACTATGACTCCTGGCGAAGCGGCAGATGCTTGTCTTAAAGGTCCCAAATCATGTGAACCGTCTGAATCTTTGCCCATATCGGATATAGTTGAGCATCATGGCTCGGGATTCAATTATGATGTAATCACGCCCAATAGACCAGTATCAAGATTCCGATCTCTCAGGTCATAATAACCTATCGGCATGCCTTATTTTTATTTTCTGGACTTTTTCATATTGCATTTTGTATTGCACTTGGGTTCCGTCGACAACCTTTCTGGATAATTAATCTTTTATCTTATTATTGCTGATATATTTTTTCCGTGAATCGTTTGCTTGTGAGAAAAGGCCTTCTGTTGAGCTTAAAATACATCAGCACCTGCTGTGGCATCAACTGTACTTTGTTGATTGCGGTGCCCATCACTTTTCTTATGCGGCAAATAATTCAATTTTTATCAACTAGTTTGATGGATTTCTCAAAAGTATAGCTAAATTTGGCTGAACGGGTTCATAATGAATCGCCATAACTTATGCCGGAGACTAGATCCGGTCTCTACTAATTAAGATTCCTTGTTAAGACTTCACTCCGAATTTCATGCTGCGATAATGCGCTAGCCTATGACAATTTTTGTGCCCTGGAATTGGATTAGTCAGTTTGCTGGATGGGGCTACTCATCTCCATCGCAGGGTTGAGGGCTAATATCCTCTTGTTTGCTTCTCTAAGAATATATCCAACGGTCTCCAGTCTACATCTCCCTAAGCTGCATGCATAGTAGACTATAGTCCAAGAATTTTTATTCTATCATATTTATTTAATATAACTATTCAGCGTCTTTATATCGTCGATTAGTTGGATATTTTAAATATTTAATATTGGCTAAGAACGAACCTAAGGAAAGTGGAGCAATCATGCACCTTACTTATTGGATAGTTGTGTTCTAGCCCTATTCAGTACCCTACTGAGGATGAGTTTTAAGTTGGGCTTTTTCTTTGATTAACGATCCGCGTGGTAAATAGCCTAGTAACTTAAATGTAAGAGTTTTGCCTTGGGGCGGCTAGCAACACTGCATCAAAGGAGCAGCTTTGAGGACCTCATAGTTCTTGCCAGAAATGGGTAAACCCGCTCAACGCATGTAATGCAGATTTCACTGTGTTCCTAGCTAGTGTTTGGAACTTTCAGTAGTCAAATAGTAGGAGCTACATTAGGAGAGAAGTAGCAATCCCCTTTAATTGTTTTATTGTTTATTCTTCGTATTTAAGTAGTCTCGTAATGCCGCAGCTTCCTCCAGG